TGTTGAGACAACTTTAATCATTTCTTTCTTGTCCGAAACAGAAGCCGTAGTTATCGGCAACACGCGTCATTTTTACAACGTAAACAAATGTTTTCCCCGTGTTTTCAATACGTATTCTATCTGAAGTCGAAAATTAATTCTTTATAGAGTAAAGGTTGTTATATGATCATACATTCTAAGTCAACATCATATGAAAAATTACGATTAAAAAAAAAATGTTATGCGATCCTATTTACTAGAAGTAGGTACTCCTTCCTCAGTTATTCACCCTAGTCCGTCATTTTGACATTTTTTAATCTAAAATGACTGGCCGTGTGAAGTAAACTTCGAAGGACAAATGCTTTCCTGTTGGGTATACAACCGTAGCCTAGTCCCGCATTCCTTACAACCTTTCTGGTCCAGGTATTTAGATAACATCGCGAGTTCAACCACTCGTCTACCCTGCGATCAGGTTAAAAGTTATTGGCATATTCGTAATCACTAGTACTGGAGGGATCCTCATCGGACGTCGGTGTCGACTCATAAGTAAAATTGTCTGTAAGCATCAGTAGCCAGCGTCTCTTCAATGTGTGAACAATTGTCACTTTGTTTCGTCGCATAGTCGTGGTCTAGCAGTTGTTAATGGACATCGTTGTTGTTAGTATTGTCAGTTAATGCGTTTAGTTTACATTTAAAACGGCCGATTTTACGTCGGGTTTGCATGTCGGCCATCACTGCCACGAAGTTGTTTACATCGTTACGACAGCTTTTATTCCCACACCTTCCGCGATTTGAGATTTTCAACGCAAGGGACACAACTCTGTACTCGAATTGTTATTCAAACGAAATCTATTCAAGGGAAGATAACAAGATTGTCGAATGGTTATCAGGGGCAGGTGATTCTAACACTAAAAAAAGACAATGGAGTTCTTTAGTGTTTTGCTCTGGCTGGAACGGGGATCCTTAAGGTCATAGAAGTGTATTGATAAACGGAATTAGGAAGTACACCCCTAGTTGAAAATCCAATGCAGTATCACAGTTTCCGCATATTCTAATGTTTAATATTAAACTGATGAATATTGTATGTTTATTATTGACAGAACAGTGTGTTCGATCAATGAGTCACATGTTTCCATTTTTCTGTACTTTAGGAAACCGGCTACCTATTGTGTATTTCACAACTGTGAAGTTTTTCAATGTATATAGTTTTATTATAAAATGACAATTTTTAATCGTTTATAGATAATTAATTTTACACAATTTCAGCATTTATTAAATTGTTATACACTTATGTAATAATACCAAGGATTCAGATAACATCTAATGTAATTCCGTGGTTTTATTAACATTATTTTGCCAAAAATTGTGTCTGTCATTTTTTTTCAAAATTCACTCCTTTTTACATAAATTTCCATTTAAAATCCTTACAATTCTGACAACCTATATTTTTTTGTTTTTTGCAATATAACAACAAATTTTGAAGAAATTCTACAGAAAAATGGTGACACAATCCCATTACCTTAAGTTGTATTTCAACCGATATTATTGCAACTTTGTAAAAATTCAACAGTTCCCTAAAGAGTTGTGCGCTTGCGTTTTGTTTTTAATTGCTACTTTTCATTAGGAGCTTTCCCTTTTTACTGATTTTCTGTTTTATAAATTTGTTCGGAGAACTGCCTCTTCCATTCATTCACGATATTTTGATTTTAATTATTTTGAAAGCAGGTGGGACCTTGTTTTCAAACCCCCAATCGTCGCAAAGTGCCGCCGGGGTTAGTCTCGATCAACCAGACTCTTGTTGACTGCGCAAGCCAAGCCGAATAGTGATCAAACGCCTGGTTAAACGAGACTACGCCGGGGTTTGATTTGTAAACACTTTGTCCTCTTCCGTTGCTTCTCAATGCGTGAAAGCCTTCTGGGAAATTGAGGCCGCATACTGTCTACAAAAAATATGATGGTAAACCCTACGTTATTGATATTTATTACAGTTTACTAGTGAAATATCATAAATTCTACATTTGATAAAAGCATACCTTTAATGCAGTGAAGATGAACAAAAACATTATAGCTTCACAAGTAAAAAGTTCGCTCTTAGTATTGTCCAATCTTAACGGTACATTATATTCTCTGCGTAGATTTTTGGTTTTAACTTTAGATTAAGTGACGGCAGAATAAGTGGCCGTGTTGCCTACCTTTGCAGCAGACATTATTGTATTTACATAACTACACAATTTACATCATTTTCTTACCAGATAATACTAGCACTTGGCAGAATTGGAGTGAAAACCCATTCAAAATGGCGCTCTGTATTGTTATCAAACGTGACGTCATTACAACTTGGCGTCAATAACTTCGCTGCACATTCCCGCGCTTTTCTGATGACGCAATAGTCGCGCCGCGGGACTTGAAAAAAATGTTACAGTTGGAAAATGTCTTTGTTTTTCCCGTTCAATGCGATATATCCATTTCCTTTGTATAAAATGAATATGTGATAACAACCAAAAAAACAGCGTTGTGCTAAAATATGTCTTCGTAGCAGTCTCGATAAGTAATAATTATTATTCAAAAGGGCGTGGAGTTACGATTGACGATTTAACCTAGAAGACGGTTGATATTTGCAAATAATCGCTACAAAATAAAGTCCTGAAATATCCCGGAATGAAAATTGACGAAACAGTTTTTTTTCAGGGGTTAGTTGGGTTCACTTTTGGCTTATTAGTCCATTACCGGTGAGACCGGAGGACTATAGTTTTCCTCTCCGTCCGTCTGTGTACGTACGTGCGTAACACCAATGTTAGGTCAATGTCAAGGTCACCGTAACAGTTTTTAGAAAATCCTTGTCATCGCTCTAGCGGCTTTATTCCTTGAGGGATTTTGATCAAACGTCATACAATTACAAAGGACCATACTATCTTGGACTATTTCGAGATTCCAGGTTGTCGGGTTTAAGGTCAAGGTCACCGTTACTATTTTTAGAAAATCCATCTGTCAGCGCTCTAGCGGCTTAATTCCTGGAGAGATTTGGATCAAACTTCACACAATTACAACGAACCATAATATCTCGAACAAGTTTGAGTTTCAGGGTCGTTGGGTCATGGTCAAGGTCACCGTTACTATTGTCAGCGCTCTGGCGGCTTAGTTCCTTGAGGGATTTTAATCGAACTTCATACAATTAAAAAGAAAATAATTTCTCGGACAACTTCGAGTTTCAGGGTTGTCGGGTCAAGATCAGCGTTACTATTTTTAGAAAATCCTTGCCAGCGTTCTAGCGGCTTCATTCTTTGGGGGATTTTAATCAAACTTTACTCCATTACACAGAACCATAATATCTCGGACAATTTAGAATTTAAGGGTTGTTAGGTCAAGGTCAAGGTCACTGTTACTATTTTCAGAAAATCCTTGTCAGCGCTTTAGCGGCTTCATTCCTTGAGGGATTTTGACCAATTCACACAATTACAAATGACCATAATATCTCGGACATATTTGAAATAGCATGTACACATTATGGTATAGAAACATTAGGATACCTACAGACAAAATATAACTTCAAGGTTCAAAGTTCAAGGGGCCGTAACACTGTTCAAAGGGCAATAATGAACTGAATTAAACTGGATAAGTAACACGTTATTACACATTTGTGATGATATTCACGTATCTTTATCACCCTTGCTATTAATTGATTTAATACCACAAAAGCAAAAAAAAATAACAATCATTTTATTTTACAAACATTACAATTTCTTGTATTATTAGCTCACCTGAGCTTATGCCGTGGCGCAGCGTCCGTCGTCGTGCGTCGTCAACTTTATCTTTAAAACCTATCTCCTCTAAACACCAAAGAGGATTTCAACCAAATTTAGTCTGAAGCATCAGTAGGGACAGGCAATCATTTCTTAAAATGAGGTTTGTTCGAACCCTGAGGCCAGTGGGCGAGGCCCTGGAGGGAAACTTAGCTAAATTTGCTTTAAAACGCATCTCCTCCTAAACGCCAAAGAAGATTTCAACCAAATTTGTTCTGAAACTTCATTAGGGGAGGGCAATCATTTCCTAAATAAATTAGGCTGGTTCGGCCTCTGGGGCTAGGAAGACCGGGCCCCAAAATGGAAAATTATCTAATAGTTTGCTCTCAGACGCTAATACCCCCTAATTGCCTGAGTGTATTGTACAAAATTTGGTCAAAAACATTATTTAGGAAGAACAAACATTTCTTAATTGAATGAGGTTGATTTGACCCCTGCGGTCCTAAGAAATGGTACAGCTAGATTATCATATATTCTATGGTGTAGTTTTCATACAATTGGTTTCTAGGTTTATAAAAGCTAATAGTTGAATGAAAATATAAGTATTGTCTAATTACACCCTGTAATATGAAATATTACTTATTTTTTAAATATGTTAACATGGCAACTAAATGGAGGCCCCTGATTAGTTGAAAGTCAGATATTGTGGTCCCAGTTGGGTTAGAACATAGATTTTGTCTGGGTTTAAGGAAATTTCATATAAAGATGTACTAATGCATTCAGAAGTAATGATTTACATAGAAAACCAGGTGAGCAATACAGGTCCAATGGACCTCTTGATATTTCATTAAAATCAATTACATGCTAATTGTATCCTTTTCATTTTCCGGGGCCGGTAGAGGACATGTATTTTAGCAATATTCAGTATGCTTGTTGATAGTGTTTTCTACAGGTGTTCCCATATGAAACAAGTCTTTTTGTATTTTGAAGAATAACAGCTATTCAAAATTTGACTATTTCCAACAAAAACACAGTGTTTTTAGATAAATTCAAACACTATATCGAAATACACATATACCTTTTATGTATTTGTAGGTTAAGTAAATATGCCGAGAACATATGTAGACAATGCATCCAACCGAAGTATGGGAAGGGTCGGAATGCCAGTCGGGAGCATGCCTGTTTCAGGGAGGGCATCCGGGTCTTCCACTAGTGGTGGCGGAGCAAGTTTCGGACGATCCAGTTCCGGGAGATCAAGCTATGGAGGATCATCAAAAAATACCTACGTAGACAATGCATCCAGCCGAAGTATGGGAAGGGTCGGAATGCCAGTCGGGAGCATGCCTGTTTCAGGGAGGTCATCCGGGTCTTCCACTAGTGGTGGCGGAGCAAGTTTCGGAGGATCCAGTTCCGGGAGATCAACATATGGAGGATCATCAAAAAATACCTACGTAGACAATGCGTACAACCGATGCGTTGGAAGAGTGGGAATGGATCATGGAACAGCGGTGATGTCAAGACCCTCCTCCTCTTGAACATCGCAAAGCTCTTCTCCTAGAACATACGTGGATAATGCCCAAAACAGGAGAGAAGGTAGGGTGGGAATGGAGCATGGAACGGCGGTGATATCAAGACCCTCCTCCTCTTCAACATCGCAAAGCTATTCCTCTAACAGATACGTGTATAATGCCCAAAACAGGAGAGAAGGTAGGGTGGGAATGGAGCATGGAACGGCGGTGATGTCAAGACCCTCCTTCTCTTCAACATCGCAAAGCTATTCCTCTAAAACATACGTGGATAATGCCCAAAACAGGAGAGAAGGTAGGGTGGGAAAGGAGCATGGCACAGCGGTGATTTCAAAGAGTTCTTCACAGTCATCTGGTGCAAGAGTATATGTTGATAACCCCTTTAACCGGCGCTTAGGACGTGTTGGCATGCCGCTCGGATCTATGTCTGTGTCACGTTCATCAGGAAGGTCCGGATCTAAGACGGGATCACCAGTCAACCGGAAGGAAAGCAGCATGACACGTTGGGTTAGAGACTTGACAGATAGATATTATGAGCGACCAGTAAGTATTTCGCAATATCCGTTTTTGATACAGATAATATTCTTAATGTTACAGGTATATATGACATGCGTCCAATTAGGGAATAATCCAACTGTATTTTGAAATTTGCGATGGTATATCGTGATTATACTGTCGCAAATTGAGTGTTACTGGCAACGCGGAGCAGAGCCAGTAAAACGGATATTCGCGACAGTATAACCACAATATGCTTCCCAAAATTTCAAAATACAGAAGGGTTATCCCCATTCTAATTCATTTTAAACTACAACTACCGAAAGAAATGATGATTTAAAGATATTTTTGAGTTATTTCCTCAAATTCTGGGTATCTCTGCTCTGGATTGGTGACGTCAGAAATATTCAAAGTGAGGCGGAATTACGTTGACCTTTCGGGTTCATGATAGTGTTCGTGGCATCATGAATAATCAATTTCATGACGTTTTAGGGCCAGTCAAAGTCATCGACGTCATTAACAATTGCCATCCGGGCTTCATATGCAAATGAGAAATTTGCGGACGGTATATCGTGGTTTAACTGTCGTGTTACATCTCAAATAAATTAGAATTTCCATTAGAAATTGACACAACAAACCCGGAAACTACTGAAGGATAATTCAATATTTTAAAAAACTAGATATAACACTAACACAAATCACAGGTATAAAGTAGATAGTAGCAATAAAAACAAGGGTAAATAGTTTATACTAATGTTTTTAGATAATTATATTAAATTCTTCACATTGACGTTATGTTTTTGCATCATTTACTATAATACTTAGTGAATTTGTAAATGTAAAGGAAAAGTATATAATGCTTGCTGTACGTTCAAGTTCTGTATTTTATTCGTCTTTCAGGAAGAAGATATGGACCTAGGACATCTACAAGAAGATTCTCTGTACGGCGCGGAAGTTAGTGAGCAAGCAGCGGACCTCATCAACCGTATGGAACAGGTCCGGTTATGCCAACAGGAATCACAAAAGAGTAAAGAACCTTTGACGTCATTTGATCTTCTGAAAAGTTATCGCGGAGAAAGAATCGAATTTGATGAGCTGGATATGAGAAAAAGGATTGGCCATGGAGGATTCGGAGACGTCTATTGCGCTAAATGGAAGGGTACTTTCGTGGCTGTTAAAAAACTGCGGGTCCAGAGAATATCGAAGAAACGATTACAAGAGTTTACTTCGGAAGTGCAAGTCTTCTGTGCCCTCGACCATCCTAATATCGTCAAGTTCGTTGGCGCCTGTTGTGTGACCCCGAACATCGCTATCGTCATGGAGTTCATGGAAAGCTGTCTGTTCCAAATACTTCACATGTCTGCAGATTCGGATGCCACCCTTACAGAAGACAACAAGCTGAGCATCATTATTCAGATATCCCGTGGACTAGCATACTTGCACGAGAAAAACATCGCTCATTGTGACATCAAGTCCCAGAACGTCTTGATGGATTCCAGGGAGGGTGGTTACGTGGCGAAGATTACTGACTTTGGGCTTAGCATGATGAGAAATAGTTCCGATACGTCGTCAACAGCGCATGATCAGGTAAGAATTGCACATTGAGGTTGACATATATGTGTTAACAGTAGGTACAATCGAAAATTGACTTTTCCCAAAAAGCCTGCTCTCAAAGGAAAACAAAACATTTCAATTATAATTCATACTTTTGACTGTTTACAAGAGCAGATCAGTGATGGAAAATGTAAGCTATATGTAAAGTCATACATATCCTACATTTTCTCTTAATGTATAAAACATATATTTTCCCTTAAGTATCTGCTATTGTGAAAAATCAATCGTTTTTACTTTGTTGAAGCCGTACAGTGTACCTTATTTTAAAGAGGGGAATATGTTACAGAGATGATAGTATGTGCGTGCTACACAGGATATTTCAAAGAATACCAAAATGGGGAGGCAACTCGATCTGTCATGTCACTATCATGATACCGTTACTGGAATTTATATATAATATAGAGATAGAGTTACCTAAATTGATATTATTTTTATAGATAAAGAGGTCGAGTTGTCTTCCAATGTACATTTTCTCCTTGTAACCTTGTAAATATCCCCATATGTGCGGTTTATCTGGTTCAATTACAAACATTTATTCCGAGCATCAGACAGTATATAAGAATATGGCAATGTTTTGTTTCTATTTAAACTGTTGTGACTCGTGTAACGACACGTGTTATCATCAATGAAATGGGACATTTCACATTTACTTAAATTGGTATTTTGATTAAAACAAATGTTATTGCCTTTTTAGCTCACCTGGCCCGATAAAGCACTACCAGGTTTGTTCAAATGAATGACCTTCGCCCATATTCAAGGTCACAGTGGGTCAAATATGTTTAAATATTTAAATAACTTCTTCTGAATAGGGTCACATGTGAACTTTTTAATGAGTAATTTTCAGATTGATGAGCTGTTTCCATATGGCAAGCAATTAAAGCATCACACAGTCAGGGTGATGATATTTGGCCAGAAGGATGTTGGCATGAAGGGCTACCAAGTTTGTTCAATTGAATGACCTTTACTCATATTCAAGGACACCGGGATGAATTGTCTTAAAAAATCTTTTAACGACTTCTTCTAAATTACCAAAACCTCCAGGGTGATGATATTTGGCTATTAGCATGCATGGATGAAGGGCTATCAAATTTGTTGTAATAAATGATCTTCACTCATATTCAAGGTCACATAGGTCAATTGTTAAAAACCTTTAAACGTCTTCTTCTGAATAACTAAAGTGTAAAGGGTGATTGCTTGTAAATGTGAATGACCTTGACACACTTTCCTGGTCTCATCTTGTCCATATTCCACAAATATTTAAAAGTCATCAATAAACAAAAGGTATAGGGTGGTGATATTTAGCAAGTTGCGTTCCGGGATGAAGGGCTGTAAAAACAAATTCAACTTTATGGCCATGTTTGACTTTCAAGGTCACAGGGGTTAATTGTGTTTTACTCCTTAAACAGCTGTGGCGGTTCTTGTCTAATGTTATAAAGAAGCTCGCTCCGATTAAGGGAAATATGACCTGGGATTCTCGAGTGCGTAAGGTTGACATCATGTTTTTTCCCCATCATGTGATCAATATAATCCAATCAGACACGCTATTATAGAGATAATGTATAACTATATGCAATTACAAGTGTCATTGTTGAAAGTTTCATGTGTTTTTAATTGTTAACTTCTTTACAATTGCCATAAGTTGAATCTTTGTTATTCAACAGGTGCGGAACATCGGAACCCCTCGTTATTCTGCCCCTGAAGTACTCCGTGGGGAGCTGTTAGACCGGGCTGCTATGATGAGAGCCGATGTTTACTCTCTTGGTCTTGTGGTGTTCGAGATCATCTCGGAAGATGAACCATTTGATTCCCTAAATGCTAAACAAATAGAACGTCATGTAGGAAATGGAGAGGAAAGACCTGTGTTTGGATCTGACATAGATGAAAATGTTGAGGAAAACGTCAAAACATGTTGGAGCCGGGATCCGTCCCTCCGACCTTCTGCACCAAGTTTTAGTGATTCTGTTGAAAAGTGGGAGTCTCTCTTTATGTGACACTAATACAAGCATTGACATTTTCTCTTGAAAGTCTTCCTTTCAAAAATGACACTTACTCACAATGAAAAGAATAATGTGCGAGGCGAACGCCGTCAGCAGTATACTATCACCTTTCCTTAATGCTTTATGCTAACCAAGTGTGTCTTTTGTTGTGGCTTTTTTTTGTTGATTTTTGTTGGCAATTGTTATGCTAAGTAATAGACCAAGGTTGTTTCCCCTATAATAATCTCAGATAGCAATCGCAATCTCCGTAATTTGTCATTTTGTTTTGTTTAGTGTTACTTAGTATTGGAAACTGTATATATGTTTTGATAACAGCATATTTTAAACGTTTGGCCTTTTATTCAGATGTCAGCAAATCAGGGATCCATCGGGCACAGGGCTTTCCTCAATTCCAGCACTTGGTCAGAATACAATGTGCACTGCCCTCTGAAAGTCTGACAATATGTCTTGAGCTTTTTCAGGAACAGTTAATCATTCTTAAGTATTGCTTTCACAGGCAGCAATGTTCTTTGTTGCTGCAACAACTGACCTGTCCGGCCGTGTGTCCTTTTAAATGTCAACTTTACCATTCTTGATATTTTTTTTCATCCACCTAAAAACAGTTCTTAAAGTTAGGGTAGAGGTACATGTTTTTGCATGTATTTGTGTTGGCGGTATCTTTAAAGCATCGTGTACTTTGATATTGGAGTGTATTTCGGATTAAGTCGCAACCTTCATTTAAGCATTGAAACGTAGCCACTAGTTTATACCGTTCAACAATAAATAACTTGATATGTATCAAATGTTGTATACTTATGTTTAACACTCGCTTTCACCGAAACGGGGGATATTAATTTGAGGTTTTTTCGTCTGTGTGTCTGTCATGCTTCGTTTCCGTGCAACAACTACAACAAATATAAACAGATTCTCTTCAAACTTGGTAACAGGGTTAAATGCCTTAAGGGCTCGGCCATGTTCGATGAACACTCTCAGCGGACACCATTTGGCGGAGTTATGGTCCCTTGAAGTACGAAAAACACCATCACCTGCTGCGTTTCGTTTCCGTGCAATAACTACAACAAATAAAAACCGATTCTCTTCAAACTTACTCACAGGGTTAAATGCCTTAAAGGCTCGGCCAAGTTCGATGACCATTTTCAACCTACCATTTGTCCTGAAAGCAGGGGATTTAAATTCCACGAATTTGCTTTTTTTATTATATGTTCAGTTAATTTGTATCTTATCGACGATGTTTTTGCACTCACTAGCTATGTCTGCTTTCGATTTTTTGTGAACCAAAGCGGTTTAAATATGACGTAACCGACTTCAGCCTGAATATATGAGTCATAGGCAGATAATGTAAACTAATGTCAAAATAAACCTACATAAACCTGTATCACAAATGATAATATTAGCGGGATACGTTTGATTTTAATCATCATAATCATTTGATTTTATGTGCACACTTATTTTGAAATCCTATACGCTTATAAATGGATGGATTATATATCACGTGTTTATTCTTTTTTTGCAAAACAAAAATTTGATATTAGAAAAAAAAGAAAACTCAAATTAAATTTAAATAGTAAAACAAACACTCATGTTCACATAAAAACATACATGCATGCATACATACATACATACATACATACATACATGCATATATACATGCATAAACAAAACTGTGTACATCTACCAAGCTTAACTTCATGCAATATCTTTGTTAATGTATTTTATAAGGATATAATGTGTCAATCTTCAGTTTAATCGCATTGCATCTAGCATATAGAATATCATATACTCATATGCAGATATAATTTAAGCACCTTCGATACCATAGTAAAGATAGAAGAAGAATATAGGGAAATATATATTTAGTTGTTATAACATACATTATATAAGGATTTTGACGATATTTCTAGAGTATTCACAGGTGTCAGCTATATTTTATTTCTTTACCTATAGAGGATTTAAGATATGATATAATAAGCTTGGACCACGTTTATGCTTTAGAGTATGAAAATATTCGACCATGATTCTTATGTTTTTTTCAAACATTTCAATTTCACCCCTCCCTTGGGATATTACTTTGTCAAATTATTATTTTTTATTCAAATGTTTTAGGTATATCCATCCACGTATGTCCTGCCAGAAGTTCTTTGTTTTTTGATACTGATAAGAAAGATGTTCTATAACAGAATAATAAGACTGGAAGAGGCCATGAGCAAAAAGTGTGATGAGGATGCAGTTCACAAAATAATAATACAGGAGATGGTAGTCCCAGGAAAAGAAAACTTAAATCAAGCAGGATGGCCAAAGCTGGCAATGGGTTTAAAATCCATGGCACAGCCCCCGTCAGAAAACGTTACGAACATTGTGTCGGAAATAAATGATAGAAAGTCAAGGTAATGCAATATCGTATTATACGGTGTTCCAGAACATACATCAGCCAAAAGAGAGGAAAAGGAAGATCACGATATAGGAATCATTAGGAGCATACTAACAACATGCAACGCAATTAAAGGGGGAAAAGACATAATCAAGGCAGTAAGATTAGGAAAATTTAACAAGGAACAGGAGAATAAGATAGGGAGGCATCTGTTAGTTACCCTTGTCAGCCTTGAAGTCAAGAAAACCCTTTTCAAGAATATAAAGAACCTAGGGAAAGAGGACAACTTTAAAAGCGTAAAAATAAGCAATGACCTAACAGAGGCTGAAAGGGAAAATGAAAAACAACTATGGGAGCAAGCCAAACAGAAGAACAGCAAACATCCATCGGGGGAATTCACCTACAAAGTCCGGGGCCCCCCTTGGGCCAGGAAAAAACAAGAATACCAATCAAAATCCAGAGCCAATGAGTGGAGAGGATGAAGCTCAAAGAAAAATTCAACGACATATTGTAAATAACCAGACTAACACCTCGAATTCAGGAAGAAATTTTGTGTTAAATATTTTAAAATGCGTCTACACAAATGCAGATCAATTAAAAAATAAACTTTCGGAACTAACCTTGCGAGTAAACCAGATAAAACCTGAAATTAATGGAATCACAGAGGTAAAGCCTAAGATCAGAACATTAAATATGAAAACACAAGAATTTGCAATAGAGGGCAACACAGATTATACTATGTTTGAGAGAAAAAGAAAAAAAAATTGGAAGGGGTATGCTGCTTTACTTACACCAATTGCTTCTAGCGAAGGAAATCATTTTAAAAACAACATTCCAAGAAAACATCTTTGTTGAAATAACTTTAAATGCACAAGAAAAAATACTAATTGACCTGATATACAGATCAGACAGCGGAACTGAAGAAAACAATAATAACCTGAGAAGCTTGTTAAACGAAGATTGCAGTTTAGAATACTCCTACTTACTTATTATGGGAGATTTTAACTACCCCGACATCAATTGGGAAACGTGGAATACCAAAGGCGATAGCATTGAAAAACAAGAATTCAAATTTGTTCAATGTCTACAGGACAATTACCTTTCACAAATAACCGAACAACCAACAAGATGGCGAGGGAAAGATACACCCCATATTTTGGATTTAATTGTTACAGATGACGCGAATTTTGTTTCGTCGATAGAATATCAAAGCCCTTTAGGGAAAAGTGACCACAAGATACTACTTCTAGATGTTAAATGTAAAACTTCTGTAACAGGTAAAAACACAACAAAAATATGCTACAACAGGGCAAACTACGAACAAATTAACAACAAAATTATGAATATTGATTGGAAAAGTGAAATGAAAGAACAGAACACCACCAATGAAAAATGGTCAATGTTCAGGAACAAAATACAAGAAATGTTAAATAAATCTGTACCAACAAAGACCATCAAACCCCACAAAAAATAGCAAGCACACTTTTCCACTGGACCAAGAAACACTCGAAAAAATTAGAATGAAACATGCTTTGTCGAAAAAAGTGGCGGCCACAAATGACCGAGAAATAAAACAGCAATACTACAAGGTCCGAAACCAGGTTTAAAAGCTGACTCGTGAACTACGAAAGGATTATGAGCAGACTCTGGCAACAAAGGCAAAATCGGACCCCAAAATGATCTGGAAATATATTAACTCAAAATCAAAGTCAAAAGTGGAAATTGGAGATCTATATGAAAATCCGAAAGACAATAAATCAAATAAAGTAACCACGGACAAAGAGAAAGCAGATATACTAGCCAACTTCTTCCAGAGCGTGTCTGTACAAGAGAATGGAGGGGAAACCCCTACCTTACCAACGAAGTAAACCCAAAGTGATATGCCATGGCTTAAAATAGACAGTGAAAAAGTGATCAAGGTATTACAAAACTTAAAATCGAACAAATCGCCGGGATTGGACAATATGCACCCCGTGTTCCTAAAGAACTCTGCAGTTGCAGTGGCGCTCCCACTCGTAATTATTTTCAACCAAACACTCGAAACAGGGAATATTCCAGGTGAATGGAAACAGGCTCGTGTGTGCGCAATCAGTCATATGTAAGGTATTGGAAACAATAGTGCAAGAACACATCAACAAATTTATGAGAGCAAACAATTTCTTCACCCCAAAACAATACGGTTTTATATCGGGAAAATCAACATCATTGCAGCTGTTGGAGGTATTGGACAAATGGACTGATGCGATGGATAAGGGATTTGGAGTGGACTGTATATACTTGGGTTATCAAAAAGCTTTTGATACTGTTCCACACAGACGTTTCATAAACAAGGTACACTCGTACATTATCTCAGACCAAACGATTAAGTGGATAGCAGGTTTTCTAAGCGGACGTAAACAACAGGTATCAGTAAAGGAAGTACATTCAGAATGGACTGATGTTGCATCAGGAATTCCCCAGGGATCAGTGCTCGGACCACTACTATTCGTCATATTTGTAATTGATCTGCCAAATGTAACAAACTCGGACATGTATTTGTTCGCAGACGATACTAAGATATTTAAAATAATAACAAAGAAAGAGGACGAATACGCACTTCAAAAGAACCTGGACACCATGGGGACCTGGAGTAACACTTGGCTACTAAGGATGCACCCGGAAAATGCAAACATATGCACGCCGGCCGATCTACAAAAACCATAGAAGGAACAACGGGATTGTATCAATTACTTGGGAACAATCTACAAAAAACATGCAAGGAAAAAGATATTGGTGTTACTGTAGACTCGGAATTGAGTTTTGAAAACCGTATCAGCGAAAAAGTAAAAAAGGCAAACCAAATGTTTGGACTGTTAAGAAGAACTTATGAATTATACCACCTTTCTCCCGTTATACAAATGTTTAGTAAGATCACAACTTGACTATGCTAATTCTGTTTGGGCACCGTATTAAGCAAAAGATATTGAAACACTTTATATTTATAAGGCAACCATAAATGGAAGTGAACTCTAATATTTAAACATGAGAACATATTACATGTATAATATAGTTCGGTGTAGAGGAACATATTGTTCCTGTACTGGAAAATAACTATAACTATAACTATAATGTCTTTGCTTTCTTGACATAAATTACATACATCACATTGTTTGAATCTGATTGGGTTTTTTTAAATAATGATAAAGTGGAAGTAATATTGGTACAAACCTGAAAGTGAACTAGCTAATGTCTAATGTTATATATCCAGTTAACAGTGGAGATAAGTTGGTTAGATAGACATTTTACTTTTGCTGTGTAGTAAGTTTTTTTCTAGTATGTAGGTTGTTGTACATTTCTCTACTTCCTTTCTTTTAATAATAATATAATTATAATATAAAACATTTATATAGCGCCCTATATAATTAGTAAAATTACTCTAAAGACGTCTTTGCAGAGACCCTAAAATTCAGATGTGAAGAGGTGAGTTTCGATGTCCCTCTTGAATTCGGCCATGGAATTCGACTTTCCACCAGCAGATGGTAAGCTATTCCTCAACGTGGCCGAAACCCTTTCAAAGCAACGGTTTCCATATGTCACAGTACGAGATTTTTTGGACACAAAACAATGATTCTGACTCCTGTAGGTACTGATGAGCTGTACCATTCAGTGCCTTGTATGTGTACATCAACATTTTGTACTGCGACATGTATCGTACAGGTAACCAGTGCAATGCAATTTCTTAATGCTACATTGGTGTGAAAGGGTTTAAACGGTCCTTCAATGAATGGCTTTGTTATCTTATGTCGTGATATGTCATAAATGTTTTTATTGATTCGCAAATGCTTTTGTTCTGTAGCAAGTTTCCAGTGATAAAATTATTCTTTTCTTTAAAATCTGTATAGCTTAAATAATCACCATTCGTTTGTATTATATCCCTAGCATATACTACATATTTTAAATGCCCTTCATTATAGAAAAGGTGATCATTATTAAATCTTAAAATTTCTATTTTACCAAATTGGCGATTTTAAAAGGTCATCAAAATGTTTTAACATTTGTCATTTTTGCTTCTTTGGTTCATGCTTCAAAATTATCCTTCCAAATTTATTTTCTGTATGGATAGTTTTAATATATTCAATCACTAGATATTCCGTTATTTTAGGTTTACAAATTTCCCCATACAATGTTAGTCATTCATTTCTTTAGAAAGGAGTATTCTCCTAATCCATGTAGCTTTAAGTCAATATATTATGTTCTCAAAATCAAATATTGTTAGTCCCCCATGATAGCTTACATTTCAGCTTCACATAAATAAGTAAGATGCACTTGATCCCCTTGTCTACAGCCCATTTGTATATCTACAAAGTTCTATGAAAACCATTATGTATGATAGCAAAAGAAGTATTCGTATTGAAATCCTGATCCCTTCCCTTACACTATTTCAAATATTAACATAACTTAGTACTTTCTTTCTATCACTGTTTGCATTTTTGACATTTTAGAGTCTTAACCTGATTTCAATCTATTAGTAATACATGCAGATGCTTATTTTTAAGTTTTAATCGGAACAGTAATATGTCTCCAGTTCTTAAAATATCGTCTGGGTTTATCACCTTTTGGACGACATATTATGACACCTTAGTTTTGTGTAATGGATAGCTGCCCGTTTTTTGTATCCTAGATTTAGAGATGATCTTAGACTTGCCAGAAAAAATTAAACGAAAAAAATCTTGTGTCGATTCAGAAAATCGGACAAAGTAGATATTATACTCAGCCAAGTAGCCATTTTATTCACTAAGGTACAGTAGTAATAATGGTCAAAGGAATAGAAACAAAACTAAAAAGTGTTCCGATATATATTATTATCGCGAATGTGGAAAAGTGATAGTAAAACCCATATATTATTACATTTGCACTGCATCGCCACAATTTAATACTACCAAGGCCTGCTCCGTGTTATGAGACCATAACACAGGCGTAGCGATATCTTCACGGGTCCCCCTCCGCACTAGGAAGCAGGAGAGCAAAGAATCCATAATGGTTTAATAATATTCACCGTTTTATGTAATCTATCATAAAATTTGAAATGAATATGTTGTTTGATTAAACTATTGAAATTGTATCAATATTTTAATGTTTATTTCAACGAAAATATCAAGCTGGAAGATTGAGACACAACGCTGACGTTATTAAGCTGACACATTGAGACACAACGCTGATGTTATTAAGCTGGAAGATTGAGACACAACGCTGACATTATTAAGCTGGAAGATTGATACACAACGCTGACGTTATTAAGCTGAAAGATTGAGACACAACGCAGACGTTATTAATCTGGAAGATTGAGACACAACGCTGACGTTATTAAGCTGGAAGATTGAGACACAGCGCTTTAGTTACAAGTGTGCGTTTTAGCCTGTTGATATGAGAATATGTTTGAGTGAATGCGTCTCCTAAGTATATTCTTCACCTTGTTGAATGTTAGATGTTAAACTCTGAACGTAGGAAAGAAAATACTGCAGTGGTGCCCAGGGTACTTTCTTTTCGAGACGGCACGGGTATGAAGATATTCACCCAATAAATTCTAACCAGTTGAACTTTCAAGGAGTTCAGCAAATTGATCCACTCCTAGGATAGCCCAATCTACCTTTACAATATTTGCAAAGACTAGTGCTTCATATGCACGCCCTGGTTATACTTAAGTATATGCTTCTGTTTCTATTGATCTATTTTATACTATTGCAGCATTTATTTATACTATTAAATTACGGTACACTTTGGTTCTTTAGGGTTAAATGTTGGTTTTATAGGTTTAACTACAATGTTAAGGACTTTGGTATGTCCCGGCCTGGGGACAGAACCCATTGCCTTCCTCACGTTCAACATAAAAGCAAAAAGTGTTGTATTGCCAAGGAAGGCGCTAGCAAATAAAATGTAGCCGGAAGTAGAAGTAAACTACAATACAAATTTCAAGTACACCATTGATAGCAGTACCATCTTGTATATCAGTTTGATACCTAATATTTTGACAGAACTGAATGAGACAATACATTTCATTACCATCTTTTTTTCATAATATTTTAGCGTATATTTTGCCATTTCTGTTCCTTTATTTGCATTATGTATATTGTCCACTTTACAGTGATTTAACCATTAGTCGTAAGGTATACGTGTGTGATATGCAGCTGTTCACTTGAATTCAATTGAGTGACTTTTCATTATGCTATTATTTGAATTATAGTTCCATATCAATACTGTCCTTATTGATATTTAATATACCTTAAGTGTCATGTCTTGGGGTCCTCCGTAGATAGGGGGATTCCCGATCACTTAGAATCCTGAGATATGCTTTGTTTTTCTTTCGTTGTATTAGAATTTAAAGCAATTTATGTATAAGCTATCTGTGGTTATCCTGTTTCGTGTGTTATTATGTTATTATTATTGTTTTCCTTGTATATGTGTGTAGCAATACAAGCTTTACTGCTTATGTTTCTTGTTTATACATGTATGTATGCAACTCTAAATAAAGTTTCTTGTATCTAGTATTTTGTCAGTCTGTTGACATGCGAATGGATAATTTAGTCTTTTTTTGCATCTTTTAAAATTGTAATTCAAAATACAAAGCTTTATGTATTGCATAAAACATCTTTTTCATTATTAGTTAAGTGTGAAGGGGAAATACTTCGTAGAGCAAAGTTTTATTGATTTCATTCTAAATTATTTCATTAAAGCTTCCAAATACATTACATATATACATAGTATTACCCTAATAAGGATTTCTGAAAAATCACAACTATGGCTTACATGTAATGTAGTTTCGACAGACGTACAAGTGTGGCAGATTTTAAGATTACGGTCGACTTCTAGCTTCGAGCTAGAGGGAATTTCTATAATAATTATATAATTATTTGTTAATTCACTATCCATTAAAATAATAAGTCAACGCCTTGGTACACATCATATACAATAAATGCTGTTAAATGATGTGAAAGTAAGTATGATAACTTTATTGGCCAAACTGCTTAAACACAGTATAGATTGATGTTTGTGAACTTCACAGTCTTAGTGGGGGCGTACCCCCTCTGGCGGCGTACCGAGAGGGGGGTACGCCCAAAAGCCCCCTTCTTAATCCGCGCCAGATAATGCAATTCATTTCATGTGGACGATATCGAAAGTAAAAGTACACATTTAAACGTATTACTGTAAAAGATTCTCACGAACTGTGACACACCAGGTGGTTGGGGAATACCGAGCGCAGAGAGCAGACACAGTGAAATGGCTTCGTTCCCACTATAAAGCATAGTTGGATTACACACGTATCATTATACTTGAAATAATTGTTATCTTGAAATCTTCAAATAATTGAATCATTAACACACAGTTAAATGTTCACCTGACAGGTAAATACAAAGATATTACAGGTGTAGGTGTGCACGGTACAGTCAATAGATGCACTTACTGTCTTCTGTTGGGTACGAGACCGCTGACCAGGACGCGTGTGTAGTAAACTCTAACGGAATCTAGGTCACACGGTACATGTGTATTTACGGAAGTAGACACATACTACACGGTGACAGTCCGCTTGGAACGACGGAGCGAGCAGGTATATTGACTTTAGTTGATATTATGGTATATATTATTTTGTTTATTCCTATGCCAGTCTTGCAAACTGTCACTTGTTTTGTGTGACGGTAATCCAAATTTCACGATGGCTACGTGTACGTTGATCGCCATTTTGATGCACAGATTTCCTCCCGGCAAATGTTTGGTTGTCATGCATTACTTTATACATGTAGAAGTATAATTATGTGTGAACCTGTATTTTCTACACTGACATGTGCACAGAAAACTACATATAATGTACCACAAACAGGCAGTTTGGTCATGCTGTGATACGACGTAATCACAGGATGTGTCATTTGACCGAGCGAACATTAAATGGTCATTTTATATTCCGAGAGCCGATACAGTAGTAGCTATATTGACCCATATACCTTTTTTCAATAGTAAATATTTAATAAGCCCGATTTTTCTCTGGCCCGACACCAGACTTTGATATTTTGACAGATATATGTCTGGTCTATCAGGGCTACAGGAAATTCGGACTAACATTTAAAAAAAGGCTAGGTTATCAAGAGTGTTTACTATATTCATCGCATGTTCCAACATGCATTGGCCACTTTATCTGATTTGATCTTGGCTCTCGGTTAAGAATCTTTACCACTTTACTTTCACTTTCGTTTTACACGGCATTAGTATCTTAGTATACATTAAACTATGTAGGTAGGTTGGGCCAAACTGAGATCCAGTAGGAAAAAACGTTTGCAATGTTACGACACTTTTTATTGGTTAATTACCATGGATTGATGTACATGTTATGTCTTCTCTACATTAATGTTAAAACACTACACAAACCACAAATATCGTTTTGCCGTCTAGCCCTAGGCACCGCGATATTTGCCGTTTGCCGTCTACCCTAGGCACTGTGGGCAGTCGGCTGTGGGCAGTCGGCATTTGAAAATGCAGAAATATACATGACACATGTACTATATACCCGGTATATATAAATGCACCATTGACAAAGATGTGTCGCCACAAACATTCGTTAACAGAACTCACTATCTGTTATTCAAAAACGTCCATCCCAAAAACCAAAAACACTGCCTCTCAGGAAAAACCAGAGCTGCCCCCGGAAGCCTGTTTACTTTTGCTGACTTCAAAACAGCACCGGTAAACAAGTAAGTCACGGGACTGGTTTCATTTGTCGACTATGGCCGGGTACCCGCATTTAATGTTTTATGTATTTAAAGATATAGTAGCGGAAAAACAAATACATCTATTATTTTAGATCTACTAAATACCTGTCAAGCTCAAAGTCAGAATGTAAAGTAGATATTTGTCATTGCAACTGCTTTAGTAAACAGCATTTGTCATGATGAAATGCCTCGGCAAACGTTTGGCTTTTAACATTTATTAACATTTCACATCGTAAACGCGTGATATGTATTACCATACAGGTGTGCTCGATGGTATTTGTTCCCCTATCATGCATCGAATTTCAACTTCCTCCTTGAAAATGTATATTATAAAGCCTAGCCTGGTTAAGGAATATCGGGTGGCGCAGTTGATAGCGAGGCTCGCTTTTCACAAAGGCGACTAGGGTTTAATTACCCGATCGAACGTAAAAAGGTTTGACGTCACCAGCCCGACTACGTGTGTCTTCTCCGGGTACTCCGGTTTCCTCCTCCATTAAGACCCTCCGTGCGCTAACATCCCGGCCAACAATAGTGATTGATATCAGTTATATAACTTGTTTAATAAGTGTTGTTAAATCAATAAAGTTTATAAATATATATTTAGTATACCTATGTACGTATGTACGTATGTTACACTCTGTCATTGCTCTAGTTACTTCATTCCTGAACGGAATTTCATGAAACTTCATACAAGTGTTTGGTATGGCAATGGCATGCCTGGAACAAGTTCGCATCTCGGGTTTCTACATTGAAGGTCAAGGTCATTTTTATCTTTTCAGATTTTGTCATTAATCTTGTGACTTCATCACTGAACTGAACTTCATGAAACTTCATGCAAGTGTTTGGTATGGCAATGGCATGCCTGGAACAAGTTCGCATCTCGGGTTTCTACATTGAAAGTCAAGGTCATTTCTATCTTTTCAGATTTTGTCATTAATCTTGTGACTTCATCACTGAACTGAACTTCATGAAACTTCATGCAAGTGTTTGGTCATGTATGACAATACAAGTTTGCTATTCGGGTTACTGCGTTAAAGGTCAAGATCTCTTGTACTATTTTTAGAAAAACAACTGTCATCGCTCTACCGACTTCATTCCTAATGGGAATTTCAAGATACTCGATACAAGTCTTTAGTATGGCATTACATTGAACGTCTCCTTTCGGGTTTCTGCGTTGCAGGTCAAGGTCACTGTTACTATATTTAGGGGGGAAAACTTTGTTTGGTTGATTTGACGTATTAACTTAGATATGCTTAGTCCATCGTCCCCCTATCGAAGGTTTTGTTTGTTTCGTTGGGATAAAACACGGGAAATGGTAGTGAAGTGAGGAAAGTCATTGATTCAAAACGTTGTTGTGGGAGCAACACATTAATTATTAACAATTAAAAATTAGCAAGGACCTCAAGTATTCAAGTAACGGTTACTGTTGTATTTCACAGCCACTGTTTCAGGAATGGGCATCACACATTGTATAAAGGTCCGACATGGGTTTATTGCATCCTAAAACGAGATCACATTGACCTAAGTTTGACCTTTAAACTTGACTTCAAGTTCGTTAATGATGGTATTCAGAGCATATCTTTTGTCACGAATGGGCGTCAAACTTTGTATGCCGGAAGATCATAGGATGGCGGTGCTTGAACAATGGTTCTTTGATCTCTATTTGACCTTGACGTCAAAAACTAAAAATAGTATAGTTCAAGTTTCTTCAACAATTATCAGTAACAGTTTTATGAATGGGCGCCATACTTTTTAAGTATGTGTCTCGAAATAAATCTTGTTTAATATTCTCTTCCTCATTTCGTTCAAGTCTTTAGTAATATTTTACTTATAGTTACAAAACAGCTCACATAGATCGATATTAGATATTAATGAACCTGTACATATTACCAGTCATTTATTAAGTTGTGCGCTTGCGATTATTTCAACTTCCTCTTTTTAATAAAGGAGACAGCCTCTTTCCTGATTTTTCGTTTGAAAATATGTTATTCAAAGAACTACCATTTCCATTCTTGAACAATATATGGATTTTGTATACATCATCAATACAGAAGATAAACTCTGACGTTGTGCACCTGTTTTAAATATTGTGATTAAGCTATTTTTATCTGATCTATGTCCCTTTTCTGATATCCTATGCATTTGTCTTCAGTTGTATTTCAACCGTTAATTATGCAACATAATTTCTCGGACACCTTCGAGTTTCAGGGTTGTCGGGTCAAGGTCAAGGTCGCCGTTATTATTTTTAGAAAATCTTTGTCAGCGCTCTAAAGACTTCATTCCTTGAGGGATTTTGTTCAAACTTGACACAATTACAAATGACAATAATATCTCGAACCAGTTCGAGTTTCAGGGTTGTCGGGTCAAGGTCACCGTTACTATTTTTAGAAAATCCTTGTCAGCGCTTTAGCGGCTTCATTCCTTCACACAATTACAAAGAACAATAATATCTCGGATAGATCTGAAATAGCATGTAAACATTATGGTTTAGAAACTTTAGGATATTTACAGACAAAATATAACTTTCAAGTTCAAGGGGCCGTAACACTGTTCAAAGGGCAATAATGAACTGAATTAAACTGGATAAGTAACACGTTATAACACATTGGTGATGATATTCACGTCTCTCATTTATTCTTGCTGGTAATTGATTTAATACCTAAAAAGCAACAAAATATAACAATCATTTTATTTTATATAATTCCTCTGTCATGATACTAACATAACAATTTCTTGTATTATTATTATGTTAAAATCATTTAATTACAAGCTTTAAATTAACGCCAAATGGCACCATTTATATTAATCATTACAGTGAAATAGCTAGCGGGGCCCGGTAGAGGACATTTATTTTCGCAATATTCAGTATGCTTGTTGATATTGTTTTCTACAAGTGTTCCCATAAGAAATAAATCTTGCAAAGTATTTTGAAGAACAACAGCTATTCAAAATTTGACTATTTGCAAATAGTATTTTTAAATACCTTCAAACACTTTATCGAAATACATGTATACCTTTTTCTGTATTTGTAGATTAAGTAAATATGCCGAGATCATATGTAAACAATGCATCCAACCGAAGTATGGGAAGGGTCGGAATGCCAGTTGGGAGCATGCCTGTTTCAGGGAGGTCATCCGGGTCTTCCGCTAGCAGTGGCGGAGCAGGTTTCGGAGGATCCAGTTCCGGGAGATCAAGCTATGGAGGATCCTCAACAAAGACCTACGTAGACAATGCATACAACCGTAGCGTTGGAAGAGTTGGAATGGAGCATGGAACAGCGGTGATGTCAAAATCCTCCTCCTCTTCAACATTGCAAAGCTCTTCTCCTAAAACATACGTGGATAATGCCCAAAACAGGAGAGAAGGTAGAGTTGGAATGGAGCATGGAACAGCGGTGATTTCAAGACCCTCCTCCTCTTCAACATCGCAAAGCTATTCCTCTAACAGATACGTGGATAATGCCCAAAACAGGAGAGAAGGTAGGGTGGGAATGGAGCATGGAACAGCGGTGATTTCAAAGAGTTCTTCACAGTCACCTGGTGGTAGAGTATATGTTGATAACCCCTTTAACCGGCGCTTGGGCGTGTTGGCATGCCGCTCGGATCTATGTCTGTGTCACGTTCATCAGGAAGGTCCGGATCTAAGATGGGACCACCAATCAACCGGAAGGAAAGCAGCATGACACGTTGGGTTAGAGACTTGACAGATAGATATTATGAGCGACCAGTAAGTATTTCGCAGTATCCGTTTTTGATACAGGTAATATGCTTAATGCTACAGGTATATATGACATGCGTCCAATTAGGGGATAATCCTACTGTATTTTGAAATTTGCGATGGTATATCA